TCTACAATCCAACAAGAACTGTAAAAGTTTTAGGCAGTTGTCTCTAATCAAAATCTTAGAAATGGAATGGTAACTTCACATGAGTTATGTACCTACTTACACGTGTACATTGTATCTTTAAATTTTGGTAAAAATTAAGACATCTGTGCAATTACAAGTCGAGTGTTCTAAATTTTTGCATGTATTTTACCAGGCCAGGCCATTGACCATATAACTGCAAGTTGTTCTTTTGCTTTCAGTGTAGGTATATTCAAAAGTAAATTGTCCTCTTCAGTGCAATAAAAGCTGTGATACTTCTTTCATAGACTTGAATGCATTTACCGCACGATCCAATGCAATAAAATGGGCCCCGAGAATATAAAATTAATTAATTACGACGAATCTCTCGTACCGATTCGTTCCTTTCGTTTTTCTTATAGGTATATGCGCTTTTTACTGCTGTACCAGGCTCCTTTTTTCGCCGTTTACAATCAATCAATGTGAAAATAGTTAAAAGAGAGGGTCGTTGACTTCCAATTGAAAGGGTTGAATGGAGATGAATGAAAAGCCTAAAATGCAAGGTACCATTCTTCGGAAATCGTAGACGAGTATAAATATAACTCGTGATTCATTTTTATATTTATTATGCTTGCAGTAATTAGAACGAACATGATTTTCTGAGGTTTGTGGTTGCTAAATTATCTCGTATATATACATCACGTTCTTTTGTCAACTTTAATAATAACCAACTCTGAATAATTCGACTGGGTCTAAAACTACAGAAATTAGACGTGCTTAATCCGAGGCTTAATCTTAATAACAAATTATACAGTGAGCGGCTAAAATATGGAACAAATTCATTAAAAAATATCATTTTTGCATTAAAGACAAAATATATAGGGTGCGTAAAAAAGTTAATTTTGATACCAAAGTTGATTTTTAAAATAGAACATTCTTTTCACACAGATATTGTCTATAGAGAATGCAGTTTGGTCTAACTAACAGACCATTTTTTTTTCGAAAAATAACGTGGGTAACTTAATTATTCCTTATAGTAGTCTCAATAAAATGGCCCAAAAACGTTTTGAAAAAACTTCGATTACATCATACGGAAACATTTAAACGAAGTCGAATGTCGACGAGTTTAACTTTACTCAAAAAAGAAAAAGATAAAACGGACTGGCAACCTGGTTCGTAGCAAAGCCGATTATTTACGAGTGATAAAATTTACGCGAAGAAACGCTTTCGGATCGGAATAAAATTTTGTATGGGGCAGGGAATTTCAAAAAAATTAATCAAGTATTACTTTCGCGAAATTCAAGCCGGTTGGCTTAGATTCGCGATTCATACAAATTTTCGTCCACCAGACTTTGAATGAATCACGAAAATAATGTTACTAGGGTGGTAGAAAAATCAACTGTACCATCGAAGCGATTTGGTTCCATATTTCTAAAGGAAGCGACATTTTCCAAGGAGAAATAATATCAATTTGTTACCAGAAGAGAATATTACCCACGTCAATTACTGTAAGTTATTTTAAATTTGTTGATCTGTATAAAGTAGGGGTCGGTTATGTTTAAGAATTTTCGAAAATAAATTTGTTTGAAGTAGTTTTAATATTCCTAAAGGAATCGACCCGTGAAAATTATTTGCATGAAACAGATTTTGTATTGTATTTATTGAAAAGAGTCGAATCCAAACAAGATTTTTAGTTATTTTGTTTCATTTTATTTGATCGATACATTTAATTTCAATGATACCAGTCGTTTGATTGGATAAAAGTTTTGTTTAGCATTCAGAGGTGGGTGGAATTTTAGATAAGGACCAAATTTAGCATTGCCATCATTTTTTTTGCGTTTCTTTATATAACCCAAACGGATGATATTTTAAATCAATTAATTTAGAAAGAAACACGGAATTTGATCGCCTTTGATTTACTTAATATAGTTAATCATGTAAGTTCGCGTATTTATTGGTGTCCAATCAAACCAGAGCATTAGAGTTTGGATTTCAGGTTTTCAGAGGATCAAAAAAAAACTTCTACAAGATATAAGAGGGTAGAAGAGTCTTTTTTATTAATGAGCTAGCCGTGAGTCAAATAACAATTAATTGTCAGCAGTTTGAACAGTCAAAACATGTGTCGTTGAGGTCAATTACACTATAAATTCCGTCTCGTTGCCTCACAGTGATGATTCAGAAGAGAACTCTTTGTTCAGAGGAAATAACACGACCTTTGATATTGTTTTTTCGTTTGTCTATTGCGTTTCTGCACGAAACTAACATAACCCTCTGGAGATTATCACCTTCAGCGACAAAAATGTGCAGTTTTTGAGTTCAGAATCTGTTCGAGACCTTAATATTCATCAATAGTCAGACAAATTTTCTAAAATGTAATGCTCAATGCAAAAAAAGGTATTGAGAATAAAAATGGAACTTTAGGGTTACTTTACAAGCACTAAAACACTTATAACTCGCCTTCAAATTGTCCTGTGCCACTATTGCAAATCTCCCGTTTCCTTAAGAATAGTGTGAATCAAGGTGCACTTAAATGAAAAAAAAATAAGTGTAAAATCTTGCATATATATATACAGGGTGTTCATTTGTAAACTTCCCACGACGGATTTATCGAAAACCACTGATTAAAGAAAAAAACGTCGATACACGTCAAAAGATTTGTGAAGGGGGAAAACTTTTCAACCAAAAATTACTTCACCTCCTTTCACCCTCTGCCCCCCAGGGCCATTCCCTTAAAAATTTTAGTGGTATCGGGTAACAGCTTGTTTGAAAGGTCTTTCAAAGTCCTTTATTTTGACGTTTGATTTTTTAAAATCAGTCTATTCGCTTTCGAAAATATCACTTATTTGTTGCTATGGGAAAGAAAGAATTTAATTTGCTGTCAGTTACCTCACGGTCAAGCAGAACCAAACTCACTAGAATGAATTTGGCAAACTTAATTGCATTATATGGGCAGCTGCGAAAGTGTTATAGCGAAGATACTGAAGATAGTGCATAAAATATGGTAATAAACACTTTTTTATTAGCTCCATTAACCCCAAGCTTTTATCCCTTTCAATGTAAGCAATAATTGCTTATCCTTTAAGTTAATCTTTGGCCTTCCCAAAAATTGGGTCCCATACCGCAGTTTTCAGATCACTCAATCAATATGAGCGTTTTGAAGATGCTGAAAAATAACAAGTAGTTATTATAAAATGTATCCTGTACAGAATAGGGATTTTTACCCCACCTTCCTGGTAAAATATGAAACTATTTAACAACATTTCAAGAACATCGTTGATATCTCATGGTTGTGATAAGAAACTAAAGGAAAACTCGCTTCGTATAGGTTTCGTAGGTCCACATTTGTGCCTACTAGTAGATGGATATTTATGTAACCCCCAAAATCTATACATTATTGCAGAAGCAATTGAAATTGCAACAACCTGAAAGTTATGTGTTGCAGCGATCAGCAATCGATTTATCGCTGACTGAAATAATAGAATTACCTAAGTACTAAAAAACAACTTAACAATAAATCTAAAGGTAATGTTTAGGTAAATTACATTTCGTTGTACTTGACGATGATTCGGAACAATGAGTTTTTACACAGTCGGCAAATTACTCATTCACAAACTATTTAAAACACTTTGTTCTACATACAACATTCCAACCTGAAATTAAATTTGAAGGAAATGTTTCTAGCAAGTATATCAGCAAGTGTATATTATTGAAGTTGTATTGAGGTTAGCGTTAGTTAGTTAATATTACGGTTGGTCTGTTGAGTTGCATACAACTATCAATTATCGCATGTACCTATTGAACGGAGGCCATAATTAGATACCCCATAGTAAAAACCTTCTTTTAAGGTTCTTTGTGGTGTTCTTTTTTTAATAAGGAAATCCTTTCTACAAAGGGATTTCTATATTTCAATCGGTTGCAAGTTAGTAGAATCATTTAGTAAGTTTCATATTAGACCAAGCGCATTGCAAACGACCACAAAAAGTTTTTTGGCGTGACAAAAAAAAGAAAACTCTTGAATTCATCATATACAATAAAGATAACCCATGGAAGATACATAGATGGCTGAAAAACACCGCACTTTTGAAGCTTTCAAATGGCAACTATTCTTTCCCCAAAAAAAGCTTTGCCTATTTAGGTATTCAATTCGAACTGGCAGAACCATGGCTACAATATGAAAATTTGTTCATGTAGGTATGTTGGGAAAAAGAAGTTCTAATTCGAGTTCTGTATACCTAAGTTTGGCCAAATTATCCGGACTATGACAGCAGACAATAATTGTTATTAATTAAGTATAAACTAAATTAAATGATTACGAATAATCGGATAACTATAATTCGACGTCTGGGGCGAGTTTAATTGGTAATGTTCTTAAAGACTAATAATAGTTTATTAAATTTTGATAGACCCACAATGATTTCATCTCACTTAAGGATGGGCGCGTTACAGAATTGAGTGGGCAGGAACAATTATAAAAAAATTGAACACAATTTTCCAAGAAACTCGATTCGTGCAAGTGATATTTGGACTAAAATTAAATCCTGTCCTTTCACCATATTATCGATTGACCATTACCTACACTTAGTTCGTTGGCCCATCAAGTTGATTTGCTTAAATTATAGGTTTTATTCTAATTTATTATTATGTACAGTCAATAAGGGGGCAACTATTTTAAGATCTAATTTCTACGACCTTAAATACAGACGGGGTTGGTGATTGAACTTATTAATAAACTTAGTTAATTGAAGATCTTTAATTGTTCGGTACGTTGTCAGAAAAAAAGCAAAGAATATTCCTTTGTGCGGTTGTGGGCTATACAACTATTTTTCGGGACACATTTACATAGACTTAATGTGTAATCGATGAAATGTACATTATTATTTATGTTTATTTATTATTTTTGGAAAAAACAAAGTTTTTCTGTTTGTAGCTTTCAACCCCAAAGCGCAAAAAAATTTTGGCACACGATGAACTTAATTTAACTAACTGTAACAGTAGGTACTTACCATTTTTGGGTATGTAGGTATTAACAATAAAGCGAAGAGCGATAATAGGACGGAAAACGATATCACGCAATGTCGGCGATGTTACAAATGCGAAACAAACGTTTTATACGAGAAAAGAGCGTGTACGAGCTTTTTAAATAAGCCGGCGATCCCAAAGACATTGCGCAGTATTACAAGAACGCGCTTCCGTTACTATGTCAACTCTCAATTTCCTGAAAAACTGGTGCGCTTCCTTTTACTACACGGGTAATTACGTACGAAGAAACTATTTTCCCATTAAGATTTTTAACGAAAAGTGACTTCTACTTTACCGACATTTTATTTTTTAAATAAAATGCTTTTACCCAAAATCGTCCTGAATCCTACATTTTCATGCCTACTTTCTGTCAGGAAATTTTAGTTTCCATGACAGAGGTAGAGCAGACTACGTCTCCAGTCGCTTTTCACTTTACCGACCGCATTTTTGAATTTTCCAAATGTCTATAATGACTCCTGTCATCACTGACCGATTGACATTAGTCAAAAGTTCTATATAAAAATTGAAATTTTGTATTAAAAGACGATTTTGGGTAAAATTTTATACAAAACTCAGTAAAATCACACTACCTGACCCGGACATTAAAGCACTCGGTCCCAAAGGGGCCTCGCACTTCAATATTTCCTCGCCAGTAATGTATCTGACTTTTATGTAAATAACTAATAATATAGGCATGCTCTGTTTTTGTTCCGCATATCGTGTTCAACCCTTTCGTGTTATCTATTGCTTGCATTGTGTCATTTTTCACATGAAAATATCGACAAGCAATCAATAAATTCTTTTATTCTCTTCTTTGGTGAAAAGTGAAAATTTTCTTCACAGTAATAGACTTCGGCGAAGGTGTTCGTTTTCGCTACCCTTGTGTACTAGATCATTTATTTGTTACATCATAATTTAGATTTAATTTTAGCATTCACCATCCATACTCGAGTCGAGCGAGACATCAATTCTCTTCACAAGAGTAGTTCACCACAAAATGAAATTTGTGGGGTATGGTTATGAATTCCTCTTGGAGTCTTCGTTACTAACATGTTGAAATCTAGAAGAAACTTCGAAGAAGATCAACTTATTAAAATATTGTTTTCAATTTGTGCTAATTTCTGTGTCAATCCCCAAATTTTGCCCGCTTTCCTTTTACGAGATAATCACAATTTTCCGTTGGGGGTCCAACTTAATAATAATAATAATTGGGGGTGAAAATTGGAGAAAGTACAATTACCACAAGATATTAATATAGTAGAAGTATACTCATCTTCAACTTAAAGTCCATCGAACATCGTTTGACAAATTCTACAATTTGATTTTGAAATCGCTTGGAGAATTCAAGTCCTGATGTCCTGACCTAAAGGTAATTTTACTGTATTTGCTTCTGAAAATGAAGAAATGATAAAGTTTAACAAAATTATGCTAGATATACTCGTAGTAATGTAGTATGATTGACTGACTGTTTTGCTGATGAGATTTTGATTCTGAAAGAGATGTAGTTGGTGATGTAAGATTGATAATTTTACTGTTAATGAACAATTCAAAATCTAATTTGAAATACCCTAAAATTGAATTTAATAAATTCGTAGGTGATCTCAAGGAATTATTAACCTTCTGGAGCATATTCAAAAGAATTCACGATGATGAAACAATTGATACTGAAGATAAATTTCAATTTTTGACACGACACAAGCAAGCATCCCGAAATCTAGAGCCAGACAAATAATAGAAAGTTATCCAAAAATTCGGGATAACTACCAGTAGGTAAACCTTTAGTCTAGTCAAAGTAGAACAAGTATAAATTGTGCACAACTCTTGTGCAGATAAAGCGCATTTTTTTAAACCGAAATAGCTTTTATTTTGACATCACCAATGGATATATTTCTTGCAGACGTCTCAATCACCCTTTGTGAGTACCCTCTTCCGACAATCCGTTCTTGAGGTATAAGGGAATATACCCGATCACGATAAGAGGTCGAGGAGGAGGGGTATGGTTGGTAGAAATTAATTCCTTTCGTTGAGACCTTTCATTAGAGTACCATGAAGGATAAAACTAGTTCCACTCTCCCCCTCCCCCTCCACCCCGTACTTTGATAAGAGAACAGAAAGAAGGGCAGTAGTTGGTAGAAAACGGTTCCTTTCGTTGAAACCTTTAAGTAGAATACAATGAGAGATAAAATTAATGTTTAACTCCCCCCCCTCGGACCCCGTCGCAAACTGATCTCGAAAAAGAGTCGCACGGGAAAGTTATAGTTTGTACAAACCAATTTATTTCGATGAGACCTTTCATTAGAATACCATGAAGGGTAGAACATGTGTTTACCCCCTCCCCCTCCCCTTTTCCAAAGTTTAACTTGGCACCACTAAAGGTATGCGTATGCAAAATCTGAGACCAATTGTTTTCTTATGTAAAAGTTATGCACGTTTTACTTTCAAAAACAGCATCTAAGGAAATAATTCATGGGGGGCGGGGGCCTTTTAGACAGCGAGACTTGATGGCCGTCTGCCACACCTTCAAGGTATAGGCTACCTACTTCAAAAAATTCCAGGACTGTAGGACCATTCCCCTAGGAGTAGTTCGAAACGGTAGAATTGGGTCCGGACATTTTTTTTAATTCTTAAAAAATGTGCTAAAAGATACAGGGATCGTTAAAAGAATTGCAAGAAAACGTTTTATGGTTATATTTTGTAGTATGAGGTGTCCAAAATGACAAACTAAAAGTTGGCAAAAATATATTTACCAGAAGATTTTCGAATATTGCCCTAAAGTTATAATTGTAATTTCGGAATAATTCAGCAAAATTTTTATTAAGTATACCGTGATCAAAACCTATTTCTCATAATACAAAAAGATTTATTATATTTGAACACATTCGCGGCTAATAACAAATAACAAGTAGGAATAGCTGAAGGAATAAACAAGGCTAGTATTGAGCGAAGTAATAGCATAGTAAGTAGTAAGGGTTGCCCAGGGCCGTAGCCAGATTAGTTACGAAGAGCGGGCAAATAAATCTACAGAGCGAGCAGGCGAAATATTAATAATTTCCGCGCAGATACCACCCGCTAAATAAATTCGTTCTTTCTGTCTTTACATTTCCGTCCGTACGTCTGTCGTTCCGTGCTATACCTCAGTTCCTAGACTTCGTATCGACTTTGAGTTTTCGCCATATGAAAGCTTGCGAGCTCCAGGTGCGCAACTATCAAAAATTAACTTAAGCATTCATCATTTTCTTGCGGTCAAAATCGTTATTTATGCCCCAATTATGTTGGGAAACAGATCAAACTCAACTGCTCGATGACCAAGAAATGATACACGTGTTTTTTTGGCGACCTAAATATTTTTACCCAAAGGATGTCAAAATCGTTATTTATGCATCAATTTTCTTGGGAAACTCGACTGCTCAATAGTCAAGAAGTGGTCCATGCGTATTTATGTTGACATTTTTTGGGCAAAAAATACCAAAATCGTTATTTATGTACGGATATCCTTGGGAAGTAGACATCGTATCGGCTTCAGATTTTCGCTGTATGAAAGCTTATGAGTTCCAGATGTGGATACTATAACAAATTAATTTTGGTATATATCACTTTATGGCCTAAAAGCGATATATTATTATAAATCCTTATTTATGCACCAATTTTCTTAGGAAATAGACCAAACCCGATTGTTCGATGACCAAGTCATTTGAAGACCTCTCTTATACATGTTACTACGTATTGCAGGTGGTAAAAGATACTTAAAATGATAATAATATATTATGTATAGGTATTATTTATGGGCCCACAACCTGGGAAACGCAACTACGGAAACACAATAAACCTAACTCTTTAATGATAGAAAATACACTATTAAATGCCTCTTTCAACCTGAAACAATTTCTTAATTAATATGGTCAATTTCGAAAAAAATTCAAAGGTAGCCCAATCTTCAAACTGTTTGAAATTATGAATTCTACAGGCCACATTCTATAAGAAAATGTTTTTTCCCGGTCGATCTCAGACAATTTTTTTTCCCGGGCCCAAAAAAACCAAGTGTATAACCTTCGTTTTTTACCAAAAATCGACTACTCCAAAATTTTGCGGGAAAAGACTTTTTCTTATTAATTTTTGTGCCTCAAGAACAAAAAATTCGTATTTTTAACAATATAAGGGTTGATTTAGCCCCGCTACTCCTCAGCCAGGTCTGCAAATACCTACCCAAAAATGTCTACTAGCAGCTCTCCTATACTAGTATCATATGAAACAAATCAAATTTGATAATAGCAAGTTATAGTTTCACCATAATAGCTTGGGTACTGAAAAAATTGAATGCATTTGCACATCCACAATATGCTATAATTTTGTGTTATGTAAAAATTAACACCAATTATAACACGTGATATTTAGAAATTAATCGCGTGCATAGCATTAGCACACACATTTTCATGTTATACTTCAATTACTTGGGTAAGTACCTACCTACCTAAATATTATAAAATGAAATCACACATCAGTTAAATAGGTACTAATTAAACGCCTTTAATAAAGTGTTTCAAATTCATTCTATAATTATTATGTCCATTCACAAAACCTCCATTAAACTTTCTTACATTTATTACATTTATGATTTAGCTGTAATAATCGAGTGATTATTATTATATATATTAGGTAGGTATATTGTATACACTTAGGCTGATTCAAATTCGAGGACCACCATGGGGATCTCTGAAACTGTAAGACTGTAACACAATGCCGTATTGAAACTGAAAAAATTCCGAATACTTTCGGAGATATATCCAGAAAAAAACAAAATTTTGCAAAATAGTTTTTATTTTTTTACCGATTTTATATAAAAAGATATGTCAAAATATAAATAATTTTTCAACAAATCAAATCTCGCAGAGCACTGTTATCAATATTATGGACTCTCAGATCGCTATAAATGGAACAATTAACCATTTGACATATTTTTCTAAACGCAATTTCAGTTTAATAGAAAGTTATAGAGTACAAATTATACGTTTTATATCACAAAGGAAATCTGAAATTAACTTACCTAATAGTTTTCTAGCATTTATATGTCGTCAAGCAAGACCGAAAAGGACAATTGTCTATGACATGTCTTAAAATTTATTTTGATCATTAAACTCCGTATGGATCAGTTTCTGATTTGCTTTGCATGACTAGTAATGTGTATCGTTCCATTGAAATACCCTAATTCATAATTAGAACACAAAGACGGCGTAATTTTTTCTTTATTGATGAAATAGACAAGTAGGTAACTTTATTTAAGTGGGTATACCTGTATACAACAAACCTTTTGAGCCATTCTTTGAGTTCGTATCTATATCGATCGATTAGGGAAGGTATAGGGGGACTATGTTTGTGTAGATAGCAGAATGAGCAATAAAGGTAACGTAATCCAGGTATTCGAAATTCAGGTCAAAATGTATAAGGATCTCAGATAAGTGGATTTTAAATAAAACAGCGAAGGGCATTCGAATTCTGTTAATAAAAGTTTTACATGATCGACCGAGAATGTTGGATTGAAGAATTTAAAACGTCCAGCATCATCAATTAAGTTCATACATTTTTATCAAAAGCTTTTTCTTGTTTTCTGGAAATCGATTTTTTGCCTGTAACTTTTGCAGTACCTAATGCTCTAGTTGTTTTGGATTTTACAGGAGAAAATCTTAGGCTTCTAATTGAGTCGGTGAAGATCGCTCCGGCACATCGATCATCAATTATCAATTTCCTGGGCGATTACAGACCAAAAATTAAAGGAATTGCCGATATCGGTGACGTTTTTTGCCATAACTTTTGATTCAGAGGATCAATCGACAAATCAGGAGACGTTTTGGAATCTATGAACATAAATTAATGGAAAAAGTGTTTTCCCGAACTACCCCAAAAATGTTCGGGCAAACACTTTTTCCTGTTAATTTAGCATCGTAGATTCCAAAACGTCTCGTATTTTGTCGATTGGACCTGAATCAAAAGTTATAAGCAAAGAACCAATTTCGAACAAAAATTCAAAGGGCTGTATCTTTTTTAACCTGTTTTTTTACCAAAAATCGACTACACCCAAATTTCTCAGGAAAACACTTTCGAAAGAAAATTCAAAGGGCTGTAACTTTTGAACTAGTAGCCCAATCTTGGAACTGATTGAAATTATGGATTCTACAGGCCACATTCTATAAGAAAATTTCTTTTCCGGGTCGATCTGAGACAATTTTTTGTTCGAGCCTCAAAAAAAGGCAGTGTATAACCTTCCTTTTTTGACAGAAATCGACTACACCAAAATTTCTCGGGAAAACACTTTTTCATATTAATTTTGGTGCGTAGAATCCAAAACAATTCGTACTTTTTCGATTAGACTTCTCAATCAAAAGTTATAGACTAGAAACCAATTTCGAAAGAAAATTCAAACGGCTGTAACTTTTGAACTAGTAGCTCAATCGTGGAACTGATTGAAATTATGGATTCTACAGGCGACATTCTATAAGAAAATTTTTTTCCGGGTCGATCTGAGACAATTTTTTGTTCGAGCCTCAGAAAAAGGCAGTGTATAATAATAACCTTCCTTTTTTGACAAAAATCCACTGCACCAAAATTTCTCTGGAAAACACTTTTTCTTATTAATTTTGGCGCGTAGAATCCAAAACAATTCGTACTTTTTCGATTAGACTTCTCAACGAAGTTTTGGACAAAAATTTTTTTAGTGATGTCTATGGACATTGATTATACATGTGTATAATCAATGCTATATGGACTTGCGTATGTTGGATGAATATCCAATAATAAGAGAACTGTTTTTTTAAGTATAAAAACAATTCCTTTATCAGCTCGAGTAGAACGCTTGTTTCCCTATAGGGAATGATTGATTATGCGACCAAAGAGAAGATGATCTTGAAATAACCCTCAGTGTAACAGGTAGATAGGTACTTATTTGAAATACTTACCTTGTTGACATAGGTACCTATTTTCTATTTGGTATTTTTAAATATAAATATCAAACCTATTTAGCATTTTGTATTTAAAATATATCAGCATTTCTTATTTTGTTTTAAATAGATTTTGAAATGTATTTTACTCAACTCTGCAGGATGGAACCCCTCAAGATACTTGGCGACAGTTACCTGGAACTAGTGAGGCTGTAGCAACTTAGGCCAGACAGGGTCCTATCGTTTATTGAGAGGAACAGGCTCTGAACCTAGTTGCGAAAGGGGGTAGGCACAATCAACCTTTAATGTGCCTAAATGTTACCTGGTTGCGCCCCCGTATAAAAAAAAACTTACTTCGAATAGGGGACAGCATTTTAATTCTTATTAATTTTGGCTTCTAGAATCCAAAACATGTTGCATTTTCTCGATTGGTCCACTACCTACATCAATAGGTCAAAAAACCGATTTATGACTGGAAAAGAACTTTTTTTGTAGATGTTGGTTTGTAGAATTAAAAACGACCAGGATCTTCAAGATTGGACCACTGCACATTTTCCTTTAATAGTCGTGATCAATGTTGAAAATTCTTAGGCAATGTGTTCACTAAAACAAATAGTAATTTGATCAAAACACAATGGTATAAAAAAATTTAATGCAGTAGAAATATGATATGAATTACTCTGGATTATTTCACAATTACTTTCAATTCTCTATATATAATAAAATAGAATTTATATATCTAATGCACAGCTACGACTAACAAATTCACATCACATTATCGTTCATCTTATTACTAAATTACATTATATTTTTATGCACATAAAATGCAACAAGAGAATGAAACAATTCACATTTTAAATGTGATGTAATTTTATCTTCATAGTTAACATTTGTCCATTTCATTATTGAATTAAGACTAGTTTTATTTAAATAATTTAATTATTTATGTAGTGGCTGAAAATAAAATTAATGGTTAGATGGAAGTGTATATTAAATATTGCAAACCTTAAAAGTAACAATAAATAGTATTCTTTATGTACTATACAAAAAAAATTATTTTGATAACAAATTGAAAAGTAAAAAATATAAAATGTTATTAAAAGTATGCAATTATTTATAAAACGTTAAAACTTGTTAAAGACAACTTATGTTCATTTAAAATATAACAACTTTCATAACAGTTTGAGGATTGCCTCGGCAGTGATGATTACTTATTTATGCGTAGTCAGACTTTGTTTGGTCAATGTGCGTGTGTAAACTGATTTAGCTATTCAAAAATAAGAACTGATTGGAGATCATGTTTTGAGAAACACTCTCGAGTTGAATGACTACATTTTTTCTACATTTAAGTTTACAAACTTAAATAAACCTCAAACAAAAAATAGTATATTTCTTTATAAACGTAAACCTAAAGTTACTATATAACAATATGCGCCTATCAGAAACATTATGCAATTTCATATTACACAAAATACTAATTAATACAATCACAATTTTTTTAAGATTATAATACTTCCATAATATATGGATAACCATTCTGATCAATACTAAAAAATGAAGTAAAATCATACGATGCCGAGATATATGTAGAAAAGACTCCCCGAACTTTTATAACCGAAAGAAGATGCGGCTTCTCAGTCTTCCCTTCTTTGTTACTCCATACACTTAAATTTAAATTGGTCATTGGTGCGCTTAAATCAATCGCTAAATTTCTTCTTTTGACTGAACTGGAACGTCTTCTATATCTACAATGTGGAAGACCGTTGTAAGAAATGTTACAAAAGCCACTGAATACCAAACCTATTTAAATTATTGTCGGATAGTTTTGTTAAATCCCACCAGGCTATTTGGTCGCCGACACTAATTAGAATTAAGGCAGGTGATGGAGAAAACAACAAATAACGCACAGAAGATTTGTGTAATTGCAGCGTGCCCAATATGGTTTTTGATTCTACGCTCCAAATCTGTAATAGAAACAACAATCATTTCTGTAACAAAACTGATATCCAATTTGAACATTTGCCAAGAAGTTCTAGTTTCACTTAAAGGGACAATCGATATACAGTTTAAAATGTTGGCAGGTACACCTACAATCAACATATTTTCCTGACCAAGTAGTCCCAAGCGTTGGTGAGACGAAATTTAGTAGGGTACAGTATTAACTGCAAGAGAGCGGTTCAAAAGGGTTATTGAGACCCCAACGTAATATTTCCCTTTACAAACATCTCCTTGGAGAAAAACTTAGAGAGCACTCTGATGTCTGCGGACTTTCAATCAATTAGACCTATAAGGTAAACCAAAGGCAATATAAGAAGGATATTAGGACTCGTCAGAGAGGCTTTGGAGCTCTATGGAATCCCCCTCCTCTGCATCCCGTATAAAATTCTAATGAAAAGTTCATATTACCCGGCTAGTCTCAGATGAGAGGATAGTTCCCAGAGCTCCCATGGATGAAACTACTTTCTTCTAACATGGAGATCGATCAAAATAACAAACCAGAGGGAGCGCCCCAGGATACCTCAATGTTGCAGGTCCCCAAGACTCAACAACAATCTAAACCACGGAAGCGCATCACCGGCGTGGAGCAAAAAAAGAGAAAGAAGGTCAGGATGGTCCAAAATGCGCCAACGGACATTTCCAAACCATCCACCTCCCGTGCTCCAACACTGACCCAGAGCAGGGTCCTAGAGCTAACTCTGGCCAGGCGGGAAAACAGGTAGGCGGAGAGTAAAAGAGGCACTATTCCACTATCGTGGGAGACTCTAGGAGAGACTGCACACCAAAGGTAGTGTACCAACTCTATTGTGGAGTAATTTGAAAAGGTATGCTCTGAGGACTGCAACGACGCCCTATAACCAACACTCATGGTGCTGGGCGCACAAAAAGCAGAACAAAAAACGCTATATAAAGATGGTAGGAGGCGTCAGAGGGAGTCATGGAAGAGTTCTTGCAGCTCTATAGAATCCACCTCCTCTCCATCTTGCCTAAATAAAATTCTAATAAAAGTTACATATAATACCCATCCAGCCTCAGATGAGAGGAGGTTCCTACATGGACAACCTCTCAAAGATAGCCAAGGTACTAGAGAAGCCCACTTTCCCAGGGCCACCACTGCACCATACCCCAACTGGTCAGAGGTAACCCCCTTCATTCCGACGGAGAATGACTGGGCAGTTACCAGTCAAATGGTGGATGTGGCAAGGATGACCTGGTCCACCTAGTGAGAATATATATGGAGTGTATCGCTTTCATGTGAAGGGAGATAAATGTCTTTCTCCCCAAACCTGGCACCTAAAGCATATCGCCCAATCACTTTGATGTCTTTTCTTCTTAAGACACCAAAGACTGATTAGAGTCACCTCCCCTTCCAGCATCCTTAGGTCCATTTCACGTGTGGGATGGTTCGAGTGGGGTTGGATAATTTTAGTTAGGAAGGTAATACAAAGGGGGCCTAGGTACAAGTGGACCCTGTCCAGTGTCCACCCTCCTATCATATCTTCCATGTTATCAATAATCTCTTGAGGGCTCCTCCTCTTTTTCTGTACCCTAAGTTCTGCTTGTAAACCACCAGCCCAGTTTACCTCGCTGTCTCCTTGTTGTGATTGTTTCAACGTCATCATATCCTTTTCGATTTCTACCCTCATTTCTATACCATCCAATCTATTGTTTAATCTTCCTCCTATTTCTTGATGGTAGCGGCTAACTTTAAACTCTTCAGCACCGCCGTTAGCAGTATATGGTCGGTGTTGATCTCCGCTCCTGGAAGCCCGTGCGCTTACGTTACACCATTTGTGTATTTGTCGTCAACTATTATAATTTGACAAACATTTTCTTTTCCCTGGAGAACTCTATAAGCCTTTCTCCTCTTTCATTTCGATCTAACCGCCTTATCGCTCTAACGTAACCTAACCGCATTTTGACAACCTAACCTAACCACGGTGTTGACATCGACATATAATAAATAACAATGCATGTGCCAATGCTTTGCACGGATACTGCAGGTGAGAGAGAAGGGAAAACTAAGAGGGCAAGCTGTCTCTTACGGTTACACATCTGATAGGTTCTTTCAACAGAAGAGATCGCATTCAAATTAAATTGAAAGAACCAATCAGATGCGTAATCGTAAGAGACAGCTAGTTTTCCCTTCTCTCTCACCTGCAGTATCCGCGCTTATCCCTAACCGCAATGTAACCTAGCAACGCATCTTGACTTAACGTAACCGGCCCAAATACCCAGCGCAGCGCAAACACTTAAACCGCGATATCTCGTTCATGGGCGCAAACCTCTCAATCTAACCTAATTGATGAGCGACTCAGAATTTCAGAATGGAGTTAGAAACCCCAAGTCCTTAAACCTCTGAATACCAAATTTTGACAAGATCCCAGGGCTGTAGTTAGAGGGGGGCAAAAGCGGGCTTAGTCCGCTCTTGAAAATTGCTTAATATGATGCAATTTAGCATGCTCATAATGATGATCTAATATGAAGAAAATGGCGCTACATTTACTTTTATTCCAAGTGGCCATGTATCAAATTTTATTTAAATGCCCAATGGTTATATTTCTTCCAAAGGTTCCAATCGCCCTTTGTAGGTACTTTCCTTTGACAATTCACTCTTAAGATGTAAGGAATTATACCTGATCACGACAAGTGATCGAGGTGGAAGACTATCGTTAGTATAAATTAATTCCTTTCGTTGAGACCTTTCATTAGAGTACCATGAACTAGTTTTACTCCCCCCCCCCCTTCTGTCCGTACTTTGATAAGAGGACAGAAAGAAGGGCAGTAGTTTGTAGAAAACTGTTCCTTTCGTTGAGACCTTTAAGTAGATTACAATGAGACAAAATTAATATTTACCCCCCCCCCCCTCAGGTCCCGTCGCTCACTGATCTCGAAAGAGTTGCACGGGAAAGTTACAGTTTGTACAAACCACCTTATTTCGATATGAGACCTTTCATTAGAATACCATGAAGGGTAGAACATGTGTTTACCCCCCCCCCCCTTTTTCTAAAGTTTAACTTGGCACCACTAAAGGCATGCGTATGCAAAATCTGAGACCAACTGGTTGTCGTATGTAAAAGTTATGCACGTTTTACTTTCAAAAACAGCATCTTAGGAAATAATTCGTGGGTGGGGGGGAGGGGGGTCCTTTTAGACCGCGAAATTTGATGGCTGTCTGGCACACCTTCAAGGTATAGGCTACCTACTGCATTTCCAGGACTCTAGGACCATTCCCCTAGAAGTAGTTCAAAATGGTAGAAGTGGGTCTGGACAGACAGACAAAACGCGAACAATAGCACGTTTTTCTTAAAAAATGCGCTAAAAATACCTAGTCGAACGTTGTATTTATTCAATAAATGATTTTTAACATTTTTAACATATTTTGGCATTTGTTTTACACTGTTCTTGTGTATTTTTAAAAATGTTATCCTCCATGAATGTATAACGATGTCTATGTCAAAATACTTGATCGCAGACAATAAAATTATTATTATTATTTTAAAAAACGCTTGTTGAATAATCTACCGTTTTCACAATAAGTAGGTATACGGGGTCAAGTATAAAAGTTCTCGGACCTAACCACATTTTCTTTAAGGAACGTCCTGTATGCTTTAATGCAAACAAACAGCATATTAAATATTCTTTTTAAAACTACAGCTTTCCATGGACATTAAAAAAAGATTCAAGCGATTCACAAACATGCAACAAAAATTCAAAAAGATTAAAAAAATATTTTTTAAGATTAAAAAAGGTCCACGTTTCCAAAAAATACAAATAATTTCGCAAATTTTTTTATAAAGACCTCGTTTTATTCTTTTTGAATTTAATTTAAAAAATGTGATTAGATGCGATAACTTTTTTACCTGACCTCGTATACTAATAAAAATGAAGTTGTACAGCGGGTGGTATTTATGCAGAATGCGGCAAATTATTATTTCGCCTGCCCGCTCTGTAGATTTATTGGCCTGCTCTTGGTAATCAATCTGGCTACGGCGCTGACAAGATCGGGCGGTAAACAACAGAGATTTCAAATGGGACACCTATCTTGAGAATGATGCGACAACGATGGGAGTTCATGGGTGCCTTTGGAAAGCTCTCGACCTAACCTAACCGCGGGCCTGATCTAACCTAACAAAAAGTCGTACTACGCATGCGCAGTAGTTAATACCTTATCTGTGGAGCAATTTGATTGCGATTTTTAGGTAGGTTCTCCAATAAAAGTAAACAAGATGAAAATGCCAAAAGTCGTAAGCACCTAAGATAGTTTCCTCCCCAAAAATGAAGATACAAACGTAAAATACACCCATTTTTGGAGGAGACTATCGATATACTGGTGTCGGTCATGATCATAATTTTGTGGCGATCTTACTCCATTATTAGCTGGGAAGACCCCCGTAATTAATTGCACTATGCAGGTTTTTAAATTAGACTTCATTTGCTCGCTTTGCTCAAAAATTTAAGGAACTTCACATAAAGTTTGGTTTTTGTCACAATCTGCAATTGTTTTTATGTGCTTTATCTACAGAATGATTAATTTAATAGCAATTAACGTTAATATTCCCTGTTAATTTCATCCTAATTGCTAGTCGTCGCAAGTCCTCCCTCCAGCAGACCTATGAAAAGCAAAAGTATAACAAAGAGGTATGAACAAAAAACAAAGATGAAGATATAATGAAAAGAGATGTTTAAATAAGGTATAAGGAAAGAAGTGAGAGGAAGGTATCTACCCCTACATTTTACAATCATAAATAAAGTTCAGTCTGAATAAAATCTTAACTTACCACAATATTGCCATTGTCATCCCCCAATGCCAAAATCTTTCCATTATGAGAAAAACGACAGCACCGCAAGGGCCTCTCCCACAGTCTTTCTTCATTTAAAGTGAAACTGTTTTCACTTTCAGCTACCGAGTAAATTTCAAAACAACCATTGTCAAACGTTATGGCTAAATTCGATTGATCCGATGATATTGTAGCCATAGTTACAACGCCATTACTCCCACTCTTTTGCGTTTTCTCTCCGAATAGAATCGTATACGACGCATCTTCATCCCATAATTTAATGACACGATTTTTGGCCACACTAAGAAGCTTGTTGAATTTTTTTATGTAGAAGCATTGCACTATTGGAATAACGGGTAACTTATTGTTACTAAATTCTGTTAAATATGGCGGTTGCATTAAACAAACGGCACGATCGGCCACGAACATAGTTATCCAACCATTCTTCGCCGCACCCACCAATACGTAACACGTGGACGGCAAATTTTTCGCGTGCTTCTCTTGCAGTGACGGATGGACGGTACTAAAATACTTCAGAAACACAACTGAATCGTGCAACTTCATCAAAGTCTCTGAATGTCGATTTTTGTAATCAAACTCGATTACATCCCCGCTTATCAAGCCAATTGCAATTTTATTCCCGCACAGCGAAAAACGAACCACATTAATTTTGGCCGGTAGCGTTTCCGATTCGATAATCAAATTAAAACCGTTCATTATTTGGACCTTGTTCGCTGTATTAACGACCGCTATTCTGGGAATTCCGGACGTAGCGTTCCAGTAGCAGTCGAATATCGGTAACAATTTCGGCGTGTCTTTTGTTGGCGTTGTCGGTTGTATATGCCACTGTTTCACGGTCTGATCATCCGAGCCCGACAATAAAATATGGACGGCTTTTTTGGAATCGTCATAAAATGTATCAAGACACACGACTAACCTGCAAAAATAAAGCATTTATTAAGTGTAAATCGGGGAGACTGTTTAAGAATAAGCACAGAGTCGGTTGATTTTATTTGAATTTGCTTTTCCGTATTTGTTGTTCCTTTTAGAATTTGCGTATTTCGTTCAATTTAGATTTAATGTAAGACACTTGTGGTCAAATTTGCGTATTTTGTAAAAGGATTATATTGTACTACTTCTAAACAACTCCGGCCTTGTCATTACCACCACATGTGCATTTTTTTAAGCTAATTAACTTTTGTCTGATACCAAAAGTTCTTATCGCAATTTCAAAGAAAATGTTCATCTGGCGCTAACAACAAGGTCGCAGGTGTTTCCAAGTATTTCGGCGTGGGTGGGAACGAAGAAAGAGATTGTGTTAATAGTGGGGTGTTTCGTTAAATACTAGAATCAACGATTAAATTAGGCTGTTTCGCGACGGTTGGAAAGCGTGCACGTTTTTCTTTGAAATGTTCACCGTAGATGCTTCTAATAAAGAAAAACATAGAGCACATAGCTATGTTCTTTGGGAAGTATTGATCAATGCATGGAAAATGCGCCTCACGTTACTCGCCTTAGGGCGAAAACCTTTTTACTTGTTTACGTTGTATGTTCCTTCCGGATATCCACATAAAAAAATTAAATAGCACCTAGTGTGCAGAATAGAATAGTGAGACTGAAATGAATTGATTTGGATATCAAGATTTTGTAGATTCTAGACGCAATTTGAAAGGGGGACGCAGCTGTTGCTGATTTTGACTATCCTTCAATAATAAACTGGCACCTTATGCTACGAGTAAAGATGACGCTTTTTGCAAGATAGATTCTACAGGAGAAATACTTACGTACATCCTACCTGTATGTCAAGTGAGTCAACACATTTTGCAGACTAAACCTATATGGATTTTCAAAATATTACTAAAACCAAGCCGTTTGGCAAACCTGTCATCTGTTAGTAATTTGAATAAAAACGGCGAAGATTTTAATGAATCATTAGAACACTCTTATAATCTTGGAAAATGGCGGATATTAATCTTGAGAAAAGCAATGAATTTTAGAAAAACGTGGTGGGATTGGAGAACTTGAGTGAAAGGACGATGAACGAGAGTAACTTGAGAAACACTTTAGGAAAACTTGAGAGGAAGATGGGAAGAATGTTATGCAAGGGTGAAGGAAAATTTGAAGAGCTTGATATGAGCATGGGTTAAAAAAGATTGAAGAGGAAACTGAGAAATAAACGTGCAAGTAGTTTGAAAAGAACTTGGGAGGAGCTTGTTGGATTTTACAGAAGAAAAGTGAATCACACACTGTAACTTTTATACAGTTTTTAAACGAACTCACCAGAAAGTATCTCCAACCAATCCTCCTGGGATTGGTTGCCTGAAAGAAGAAATCACTGACCCAACTAATCTATCCCGAAAAAATTCACAGTTCCCTAACCAATTTGAAACAACATAAAGTCTTCAAACGTACCTGAGGGGAGCAATGCATTTTAAGATGAATTTGAGAAGAAATTTTGGGAATTTGAGGGGAACCTGAGGAAATGTAAAAGATCTTGAAATAACTTAACAGAAACCTGATGATGCCAGGCACGCTTTATAGAAGCTTATAGGTAAGCTGAAGACAACTTGAGGAATTTAAAAGAAGCTTGAGGACATGAGGAAAATTTAAGGAGAATTTTAGAAGGATTTGATAGGAAGTTGAAGAAAATTAAAGGAGCACTTACAGAGAAATTGAATGATATACAAGGAGAACCTCAAAGAAAATTTAACTTGAAAGGAGCAATGAATTTTAGGAAACTTGATGGAACATAGAGAAGAATTTGATGCGATGTGAGGAAAGCTCAAGATGAAGAGGGGAAAATAAGGGAGCTTTAAAAAACTTTTTTGAAATACTTCAAAGGAAATTACGAGAAGTTTGAGGGGAACATGAAGAGAATTTGAGAGCTTGAAACGAACTTGAAACAATTTATTGACTTCAAAAATGCCTTAAAGTAAAACGATAATAAACTGAGATACGTTTGTTTCATTACTCTGTTATGTCATATTCTGAAAACTTCTTATTTATTACAGTTCTTGCTTAATCTGTTGTTGATTTACTACAAGGGAAATTTTTTAGTCAATAAATTGTGTCATATGGCACTATACAGGTTTTTTTTTGGGAGCTTTAGTTAAACGTTTCTGGGAAAATAAAATAGGTAGGTTTTTGAAAATTTGTACTTAGGAGTTACGCTGAAGGCCGAATCGGTGTAAAATATTTTCGTTATTTTAAATAGCAATCCCAATTTATTATTGGATTTTTGGATTCTACGTGAAATTTCAGTTCTTTTGATGCCCATATGTCGATATCTGCCATTTATGGTTTTTAAGTTTTAAATTAAAAAAAACTGAGTTTTTGGACTTTGGACTTCCATAAATTTGGATCTCCATAGGGGCGGTCTTACGCAATTTAACTTTTTTTTAAGTAGGTACACTAAAAGAAAGCTGTATTCATTCTCTATGCACTGATAAAAATGGGTTGCCATGACTATAACCGTTTTCAAGTAATCAATTATCAAGGTACCATCTGTATCCGCCATTTTTTTTTCATACTCAAAATAACTTAAAAACCATAAATGGCAGATATGGACATGTGAGTATCAAAAGAACAGAAATTTTACGTAGAATCCAAAAATGCAATAAAAAATAGGGGTTGCCATTTAATATAACGAAGTTACTATCTACTTCCGGTGTTTCCGGAAGGGTGGCCATTTTGAAAATATTTTACATCGATTCGGTCTTTAGAGTAACTCCTAAGTACAAATTTTCAAAAACCTACCTATTTTACTTTCCCAGAAACGTTCAACTAAAGCTCCCAAAAAAACACCCTGTATACGAAAACTATTCAGAATTACTGTTCACATGCGAATTGTATTCCATTTAAAAAAATTAATGCAAACTCCTGCGCGAGACACCCTGTATATAAAATGTTTAATGCAATACGCGCACAAGTAAAGAAAGCTTTGTGTATGGCTTCTTTATTACACTTATCTGTTAAGAAAAAAAACCCTGATTGTAACTACAAATTGATGTAAACAAGTATAAATTGTGATTTGTGCACAAATCTTGTGCAGTTAAAGCGCATTTTTTTAACAGAAATAGCTTTTGTTTTGAGATCACCAGCAATGGATATATTTCTTGCAGACGTCTCAATCGTCCTTTGTCAGTACCTTCTTCCGACAATCCATTCTGAAGGTATAAGGGAATATGTACTAAATGTAATTTATTATTGTATTATTTATTAATATCTATATCTTGTTATACTTATTAAAATACTATTGTTAATAATGTATGGCTTGGCCATCAATAAATATTATTATTATACCCGATCACGATAAGAGGTCGAGGAGGAGGGCTATGGTTGGTAGAAATTAATCCCTTTCGTTGAGACCTTTCATTAGAGTACCTACCATGAAGGATAAAATTAGTTCCACTCCCCCCGCCCCGTACTTTGATAAGAGGGCAGAAGTAAGGGCAGTAGTTGGTAGAAAACTGTTTCTTTCGTTGAGACCTTTAATTAGAATGCAATGAGAGATAAAATTAATGTTTAACCCCCCCCCCCTCCACCCCGTCGCTCATTGATCTCGAAAAAGAGTCACACGGGAAAGTTATAGTTTATACACACCAATTCATTTCGTCATTTCGATGAGACCTTTCATTAGAATACCATGAAGCGTAGAACATGTGTTACCCCCCCCCCCCCCGTATGTAAAAGTTATGCACGTTTATTTTCAAAAAAAGCATATCAGGAAATAATTCGTAGGGGGGGATGCCTTTTAGACAGCGAAAGTTGATGGCCGTCTGGCAAACCTTCGAGGTATACGCTACCTACTGCAAAAAATTCCAGGATTCGAGGACCATTCCCCTAAAAGTAATTCGAAACGGCAGAAGTGAGTCCGGATGGACAAAACGCAAACAATCATTTAGATACAACTGGACAATGTCTATGTCAATGTTTTTGTTCACCAGACAATAAATTATTATTATTATTATTATTATTATTATTAATAGCACATTTTTTTTAATTCTTACAAAATGCGCTAAAAATAATCCTGAATAATTTCATCTTCATTTGGGGTATGAAACTGCACTTAAGCGCATTTCCGAAAGGTCATGTAACTGACTATGTGTACAAAGGAAAATAAGTTATGGCATAAATACTCTAAAAAAAACTTAGCATTGCGCAGTCTGTGCACGCACACCTGATATGTAACATATGTGATATGTTTACCTTTACTAGAACAATCTTTGATTAAAATTTCAAAAAATAAGTAAGAAAGTTTGCGCATGCGCACATTTAATTATTACAATATGCGATATGCTTGTCTTTATTAAAAGCATTCGTGGTTAAAATTTCAAAAAAATCTCCATAAATAAGAAAGATGACTTTGTGCGCGCATCTGATTTTTACAATATGCGATATGCTTGTCTTTCTTCGAAGAATATTTACTTAAAATTTCAAAAAATATTTATAAATATAAAAGTTCACCTTATGCAGTTTACGCATGTGCACCAAATCGGCAAGATTTTTCTGCAAAAAAAACAAACTAAATATCTTGAAAACTGTAGGAGTAATTAAGGCCTTGGACGGACGGACGGATAAAGTGGCCACAATAGCGCTTTCTAACATGAGTTGGAAAATGCGCCAAAAATACCTGAACTATGATTCCATGAATCCTTTACGCATAACTTGTGCCTGTTTTGGTTTTCTTTGCTTGTATTTTCTGATTGAACTGTTACTTTAAATTAAATTAATTAATTAATATGAGCTGGTCCTTACTAGCACAAAGTAATGCTTTTTTTTTGCTTTGGTCTCACTAGTGCTCCAAATGACACTGGACAGACTGAGAGAATTCGATCTGCTTTATACTTATTTCTTAGAAATATTAAAAGTAGCCTTTATCTTTAATATGTTTCTCGCTTATTAATGAAAGAACTTACCCTTTATTGTTTAAAATTTCTTGAATAGTTTTTGCGGTACTGATGTTCCATATACGAATGTAATGATCTGTCGATCCAGCAACCAAGTACATTCCGTCATCGGTTACAGCACCACATAAATAGTTTGTTTGTCGGTTATCCAATTCCTTCATTGATGGATCGGTTATGTTAAGTCCGGATTGATTCCATGTCCACATTGTTATTGTATTTTTATTTATGGCGATTAGTGCACTGTCATAGTCGGGTACGATAAGTAGCGAATTGATAGTAACTCTATTAAGTAGCTGAGATAGGTACTCTCCATTTTTGGCATTATATATAAATATGATAGAATCACAGCAAAATATAATTAGACTATCATCACCCGAAAACGTAACACAACTAACCGGCGTCCCACGTCCGTGAATAGTGCAAACAACGACAGGCTCCTCGGCTACATTCCACACAAACACATTCCCGCTAAAGCAACCCGTCACTATATCATTTTTCGAATGATTAGCGTAAGCGGCACATATAACTTTATCCAGCTGCCCATCTTTCGATATCCTGCAGGTTTTACTACGATCAATTCGATCCTGTCGATTATTCTCGTAAAAATTTTGCCAGTAACTCTGTTTTGTACGCGGCGACGGTATGTGATCATTAAATCCGTTTTCATCGTAAATTTCGCCGTTACTATTACGCAAAACCACCCCGTCGAGATTCCAAATTTTCACGCAGCCATCTTCAGATACAGAAAGAAACCCGTTTCCGTCGGGACAAAAACGAAGGTGTAAAATGGTATCCGTATGGCCCGGAAATACGTAGAGTTTGTGATTGCGCGATTGCTCCCACAACTAGAACATATAGTTAATAATTTCGTTGGGAGTTGTGAATAACGGTATACATTTATGTCTCCATTTTTCATGCCGACTAATATTTGGTCTACGTCACAAGTGAAGCATGCTGCTGACACGTCTTGTTGCAGATCGAGAGTGTGGGTGAAGTATACGTTTTCTTGTGATGATCTGAAAAAATATTGTTAATATTGTGGTCCCTCTGTACAGTATGGATCAAAGTAGACATTCTCTTATGAAAACTCAGCAGACCATCCACTCCCACGTTACATATTAAGTCGCGTGAGAAATCATTTACCTTTAATAACACAAAAGGTGCCATGATGGAAATTAAATAAATTCGAGAAAGGCTCTCTACCGATCAAACAGCCTGAGATAACCAGACTTACTCATAAAATTTGAGCCCAGGCAGACGTGAGTTTCTATAATAAAGCATTTAATTAGGTTCATTCTCAACAATTTTGTCAAATTTTTGTGTCTACACACCGATAGGGTCACCTCTCAAAGGTTACCTGTGAGGTCCACCTGTCAAAATACCTCTAAATCCACACCTACAGGTCTACCGTTCATCTCGGCTGGTTAAAAATGTTTGACAACCGCCGACCGAACTTTCACCCAGCGTTCCCCAAGCGCCATGACGGCGAACTTAATGCAAATCAACAACCCACCCATTCCCGAGATAGTGTACCTCGAGGCGGTGGAATTTGACATTTCTCCATTCTGAAACGCCCTTTCCTAACTGTCCCTAATGAAAAATCACCCCTAAAACGGCGACCACCATCGCGAATGTGGGGGGGAGGACAAATTGTTTCGTAGATCCGCTCGCTGTGAATGTTCAAACTTGCCGCTTTACGACAAAACATCGTCGCTCGTGTCTTCTCTTGCCTCCAGCACCGCTCCAACTGTATATAACAAGTATATACAATTGTGCCCAACTCTGCAGATAAAGCGCATTTTTTAAAACCGAAATAGCTTGTTTTGACATCAGCAATAGATATATTTTTGGCAGACGTCTCAATCGCCCTTTCTGAGTACCCTCTTTCGACAATCCGTTCTTGAGGTATAAGGGAATATCACACGATAAGAGGTCGAGGAGGAGGGCTATGGCTGGTAGAAATTAATTCCTTTCGGCGAGACCTTTCATTAGAGTACCATGAAGGATGAAACTAGTTCCCCCCCCCCCCCCCTCCCTCTGGCCCCGTCGCTCACTGATCTCGAAAAAGAGACGCACGGGAAAGTTATAGTTTGTATAAACCAATTTATTTCGATAAGACCTTTAATTAGAATACCATGAAGGGTAGAACATGTGTTCCCTCTCCTCTCCACCAAGTTTACCTGACGAATGCACGAATAAGATGCCGTAAGGAGGTGTAAAGAAGGCATGATGGAACTGTGCAGATAGTACGATGAATGTATGCAGTAGGTATGACGGAGATGGAAAAGCAGAACAAAGAAAACCGGAGACACATGGCGTGTGTGAGATGTAAAGACAAGGGAACAAGGGCCGCATACAAAAATTGACGGAGAGGTGAAAGAAGCATGAATATGCTGCAGATGTGCAACAAATGGGGGATAGGAGGGATGGAGATTCAAAGGGAGTGTAAAGGTTTGAAGGAAGCTTGCAAACATATGTGGGAGACCTGAAGAAACCACAAAAAAAAAAGCAAAAAAGGAATGCTGGAAGAATGTGCGAATTAGAGATGGGTAGTAGTTGAGTGGGTGAGGGTGAGAGATAGTAAGAAAAGGACGATTTTAAGAAAAAGTAAAAAAGTTGTACAGAAAGGGCGTGCACAAGGTGTCTGTAAAGAAGGCGTAATGGAAGTTGAAGTCAAGAATGATTGATCTTGATGTGAAGGAAATGCAGGGAAAGAGCGAGAAATGATTAAAAGAAAAAGAAGGCGAAAAGAAATTAAGAAAAAGTGAATAATTTGTGGAAAAAATGTTGAAACATGTTGGGAGAGAGGGAGGGGGAGTGTGGAAACCTTGAAAGAAATGTGCGCAAGAGCGCGAGAGGTCAGGCGGGAAGACGGCGGAGAGAAAAAGAGGCAGAGGTTGGATGACTCAACAACTGTCGATAAAGAAGGGCAAACCACAGCCCCAACCACAGGGGCATGTCGTAAGAGTGGAGCAGTAGCTACAAGCAAACTCAAGGTAGCGATCATAGATACCAATAACCCTCTGGGTAGACACACGACTAACCAGGCAGATGTGGTTCAAAATCACTCGACCAAGGTTCTTGACCACCATCTGTTCCCCCTAAAAGGCGCTACTTTAACACCAACGTTCAAGGGTTGGAGGTACTCGAGCGAGATCCTAACAATATCGTGCGAGAACAACCATTTCCTTGAGTGGTTGGCAACCTCACACAAGACTGGACACCTAAAAGTAGTGCAGGAAGACTGATGAGCTGGTGGCGGTCAAGCGACGCTTGGAAGTGCGCAATTCTTGGACAAAGGTAGGCAGCTGGTGTCTCTTCCGCACACCCATGAGGGGTCAACCCCAAGGGAGGCTGATACTTTTCAGCATTGAGTAAAAGGACCAGGTTAACCTAATCGCCAGGAGAGGGGGAAGGCTCAGTTATGGGTTTTCTTCTCTAAAGGTGAGGGTTAGTAACCCTTGTAAAACCTGATGTGGGGAGTACGTCAGTACACCCACGACCACAACACCAGCAGCTGCTACAGGGGCAACTGCAAGAAACTACAGAAGCATCACCGAGCAGGCCTATGGTTCAGGCGTGGGTAAACCACGGCCCGCCGATAAGTTTTGTTCGGCCCGCTAATATAATTCATAGTTAATACTCCATAGGGCCCACAAGTTACATTTAAAATTCTAATTAATTAATTAATTGGACTTTAATGATTATGTCACACGTGCAGCATCTAGTGGACGCGATCCGAAGCTTCCAAGATGTTTGAAAGCCTAGTTAAAGATGCATTTCTTGTTTCAGAGATATCGCCAGGTATTTTCCAGAATTTTCCTCGCGATATATACCGGGTGGGGCAATAAAACGACACGTGTTTTGGGATTAAGCAACATTTTTAAGCCATATATTGCAACAAATCTTAAGAGCATAAATTTGGATACAAGCTGAATATGGGGATTTATTATCCATGTCTTGTAAATTTTGTTTGCAAAATCGTGTCAATTTTCAGGAGTACTTATTGATTTTTTTAAAATAATTTTTACGAAAGAAAAAATAAATCAAGACCAAAAGGAAATAGATAAATATTGATTTCTTGAAACATACTTTTTATTTGGATTTTCAAGCGTGGCCCGTGGCGCAAATAAAAATTTTATTTTGGCCCCTTGGCAAAAAAGGTTGCCCACGCCTGCTATGGTTAATGCTTGCTTCAACGTCAGTAACTCACTCCTATCATAATCCAGAATGTGCAAAAAAGAAGAGTAGGAGAAGAGTATGAATCAAGAACACATGATGGAGTGAGGAAGAGAAAACGTGAAGATGTGAGCGAGATGTGAAACAAGTATAAAGATGTAGTAGAGATGCGCAAGAGAAGGAGAAGGTTCAATAAGAATGGCGAGAGTGAAAAAGAGGGAGAAATCACAAACTTTATTTTTTAGGAGCACATACATACTGTATTGAGTATCATTTTTTATTACAAATACAACGTACAGTACAAAAAAAAACAAACTCTGTTGTTTTCAACAGGATGGTGCATCTGCGCACAACTGTCTAATGGTGTGAGAATACCTATCAGACAAATATCCTGGAAAATGGAAAAATTTGTCTGATAGGTATGGCGTTGTGCGTGAGTGCACCATGCTGTTGAAACCAACAGTTTTCAACTTTTGTTTTTTTTAACCGTACATCAAAAATGCTACTCAATACAGTACTTACTTTTTTGTGAGCCATATAAGTTGATAGTTTCTCCAAAATGAAAAGTTGTATTGAAAATCTCTCATCACTGTCTGGTAAAGCTGGAATAGTTGCAATGAGAAAATGTTTTTAATTTTTGTGCATCTGTTCAAATAAGATCAGAAAAAATAGTAACAGCAAATTTAGGTTTTTCTAACATATCTTCGGAAATTATCGGAATTTTCAGGTTTTCTTTACTGCATGATAATAACCTTTTAATTGCACAACTTTGCCCTAATTTGATCATGGTTTCTGAGATCCCCACGATAAACATCCTTATTTTGAACACAATATAATGCATTAGGGACATCAGTCATATCTCAATATACAGTAGGCGCTCGAAAGTCAGGCATTGAGCGACTCAGCTTATCCATTCTATAATCTAAAATTTGCGTTCCCGTTCTGTCCTTGACAGAGAATCCGCGCATCATTTTGTTTTCATTGGCGCCTGTCTGCGTAAAGTGCTTAGTAGTTGCCCGTACGAGTCATTGCTTAGGCAAGATGGCGAAGTTTTCTACGTACATTAGTACTCTGTTACTGATGATAGATTTCCGACATTGTACAGGGTGGCCAACTAAGAATGCGAGGTACTGTATCTGAGAATCTATCCATCGTAGAGGCTTGCGGTAAAAAAATTTATCACTAAAACGGCCACGAGAAAAACCTGGAAAATATTTTTAAGTTTTTGAAATGACCGCTTGGGGGCGTAACTCCAATCTGGAATCTCAAAAAGTGATGTTTCTGTGAATTCCGCTATATTAACCTAACCAAAAAATTTCCGGTCTTTGAAGTCGACGATAATCTGAACAATTTTTGTTTGACAATTTTTCCTATATCTCTAAAAGTGAAGTGGTGGGGGGTATTCAAAGCTTTCCGTAAAGAACACCCTGTATCTTCGAAACGGCTGAACCGATTTAAACAAACTCGGGGTAGTTCAAAAGAGCTACTCTTGAGCTACAAATATTATACTATTTGAAGTTTTGTTAGTTTCACATATCACCGCTTGAGGGCTTTTTTCAACATTCCGACAGAAATAGTTAATTTTCTCAAACAAATTAAATGCATTGGTTCGATTTTTTTTTCATGAAAAAGTAGCTAAACGATGCCTAAACAAGCTCGCGAAAACAGCATCTCGATATCTTGAGATATATATTTTTATGGCCAGCATTTCGAGAATTTACTGTGGCATTAAAAGCTTCCTTTTTTAAATCGATCCACCTTAGTGCCACAAATTATATAATAAAAATAATTCCGAAAAAATTAGCTTAAAAAAATAAAATTTTGAGGGTATAAAATTTTCTTTGGCATGAATTTTAGGTTAGGAACAAGATATTGAGATGCGGTTTTCGTGAGCTTGTTTAGGCATCATTTAGCTACTTTTTCATAAAAACAAAATGAAACCAACGCATTTAATTTTTTTGAGAAAATTAACCATTTCTGTCGGAATGTCGAAAAAAGCCCTCAAGCGGCGATATGTGAAACTAACAAAACTTCAAATATTATAATATTTGTAAATATTATAATATTTGTAGCCGAAGAATAACTCTTTTCAATTAATCCGAGTTTGTTAAAATCGGATCAGCCGTTTCGAAGATACAGGGTGTACTTTACGGAAACCTTTGAATACCCCCCACCACTTCATTTTTAGAGATAAAGGAAAAATCGTCAAACAAAAATTGTTCAGATTATCGTCGACTTCAAAAACCGGTTAGGTTAATATAGCGGAATTCACAGAAACATCACTTTTTTAGATTCCAGTAAAGTCACTAGATATAGAAAGTACCGCAATCATCCGCCATTTTTGGGCAAATTTGCTGCCAACTTAAAAAAATTGACAAATAAAATCTGAACAGCTGTCATTTTTTATAACCTAACTTCATAGTACTGTCATGTTTTATAAAAATATATACAGATATCTCCAAACAGATGGAACAATCCCTAACATTAAAGTTACTAGAATCTGGTAACTTCCGCCATTTTTGGGCAAAAATCATGCGTTCTCTCTCTAACACACGAGCCCAATGGATTGCGGTACTTTATATATTTAGTGACTTTAGATTCCAGATTGCAGTTACGCCCCCTAGCGGTCATTTCAGAAACTTAAAAATATTTTCCAGGTTTTGCTCGTGGCCGTTTTAGTAATAAATTTTTATACTGCAAGCCTCTACGATGGACAGGTTCCCAGATACCGTATCTCGCATTCTTATTTGGCCACCCTGTACATATAAGAAATAAAAAAAATGCTCAATGCCCCATACAAACTCACTAATCCGACATAGATGAAAAAACCTGCGTGCCGGATTACCAAGGGCCTACTGTACAGGGTTCCCCAAAAGTCTTGGGACATGGTTATAAGTTTCAAACGTGAAGAAAAATCTGAAAATTATGGGATCAATAAAGGCCTATAAAAACTATATTTTAGATGGTTTAAAACTTTCATACACAGGGGAGTTTTCTAATTTTTAGGGGACGATAACCCTAATATTTTTAAATTACAACCCCTGTCAAGTTTCACTTAATTTTAAAAAGGAAACACATCCCCATAAGGTTTTTAATTACTTTTAAAATAAGGTCAAACTCGAGGGGGGCTTATAACTCTGTCCCGGGACTTTTGCAGAAGCCTGTACATTCATATATTTTTTATTTATTTAACGTTAGGTCAAAACCAAGAGATCGCTCCATAAGTAGCTATCTAATAACAGGTTATCGATTAAAACAAAAGTCAGGTTATTTCCACTACTTGGAACTCGATAAATGGCTGGGCCAATTTTCATGATCTTTGATTTGTTGGGTTTGTCTGTGCTATGAATAACAGAAAAAAAATACATTTTGGCATACATTTTAAAGAAGCGAGTTCAATTGAGAGAGAAGAGCGAGCAACCTTAAGACAAACACACACAATGGCGTACTTGTGCGAGGTGAGGCGGCGCATCCGCCAAAATTGAGCTTATTTGGACGCATGTAACAAATCCGCGCGAAGTGTCGGATAATACGAACATAAACGTTAATTAAGAGGATTGTTAAAAATGGACAAATACTGTAAGAGATAGAAAATTTATTTTTCCTTTAAATAATACCTACTGTAATTGGAGATACAGTGACTGAGGCTGTTCCTTAGCTAGCACCAAAGCGGCATTATAGATGGAACTATCCTTCGGCTGTCCCAATCCACACTGAATTATGTCCATGTCAGAATATTTATAAAGATCGTGCCCCCTCGCTTTCACAAAGTTAATATACTCGCCCAGTTTTTTAAGAAGTACTTCGTCCTGTAGAAAGTAAAGAGTATTTAAATGAAAACGAATCGATACTCACGTTTCGTGTAATGTAATTCTTATAAAGCTGATAGTCCCTTAATAAATCTGCGGTGCCGATCGCCTTGATTTTAGCACCAATAAATTTTAAATCGAAATATACGGAAAATTCGTTGTAACATTGAGCATGCTTTAAGTGATAACCTAAATACTGATATATGTAATTGTCATTGGGTAAATTAGCAAAATTGTCATTAGAAACCCGTTTATATGATGAGATCAATTGTTTATGTTGAGCAACGAGAGCGTCGGCGCTAAGTTTCTCTTTAAGATATGCCAGAAATAAGTCGTGTACCCCATATACGTAAGTCTTTAACTCTTGATTGTAATAAGACACAATGAGCGATTTGTTTTGTAATTCTTGCATTTTTTCGTGAACGTCGTGCAAGTCGTCCAAATTCCATATTATTTGCATTACTTGCGGCGTTATATTTACGTCTTCGACAAACACCGAGAACTTAAAGTACAATTTTTGCATTTCCGGACTCAAGCGTTCAATACAGATGCTGATCGTGTCAAATAGTTGCCTTTTTAAACTGAAAAAATTCGGCTGTAACGCATGTGAAATTCGCAATTACTTACTTATAGTCTTTGTTTGTTAGCTTTTTAATGTAGTAGTGCCAAGATTTCAGACTGTTAAGTAGGTCCTCTTTGCAGGGTTCAAATAAGGTTCCAATTAACGAAATAAGAATGGGTTCCCCTTTACATAAATTGTGAAGCTTTTCTGCTAAAACCGGCAGTTTTTTCACTTCAGTGTTCAGGGACTTGGCGAACAACTCGAGCGTTTCCTTTTGAGTAAAACCGCCTTCGACCTTAACATATACACTGTTATTGCCAACGATTATGTCTTTGACTTGCGTCGTAATGAGCGTTTTACAGCCCACATCAAACGCCTCGGTTGCTTCGCGCAGCAAAACGTTATCGAGTATTAGTAAAGCTTCACGAAAGTTGGTAAACATGTTCTTAAGTGAATGTTTTAACACCTCGATCTCAAAGGAGGAGTCATCGTGACTCGGGGGAATCGAAACCGGCCTTAACTTTTCTGTTTTTTGCCTCGAGTCATTTTGCAGTCTTTCTAATAGCCTAAAACGATCGTCAGTTTTGATACAACCAGTTGAAGTACTTACAGTGTCATATGTACAGGTAACTGATCAACTTCTTTAACTTCCCCTAAATTAATCCAAAATACTCTATTCCTAAAATAATGGTGTAACAAATCAGGATCTTTTACGGCGGCGGCGGCCAAACAGGATTTTCCACTTCCTGTCATTCCATACAGGATAATTCTCTGGCATGGTTCCAATTCCTCTAAATGTAATTGAAGATTCTGTAACTGAAATACAAGCAATTGCTGAAAGGTGTGGGGACAAAGAAACAAAACATATTGTCATTCTCTTACACATGCATGGAACATTAATATGAATACTGTATGTATAGTATAAGTAAATTACATGAAGTAGCCTTTATGCACCAGTACACGATAGAAGGAAATGATGATCACTGTAACAATCACATTTTTCATTTTTGATTTAGGAAATAAATAGAGTACTAGGTCGGGTAGTTGTAATTTTTATTCTATTATAGCTTTAGCTCAGTTGCCAAAAAAGACCATGTAGAATTAATTCACAGTATCATATTTTAAGAGTTTCTTCGATGCAGGATGCTGAGTGGTAGGCGAGAGTATAGCCATTTAGCTGTTACTACCAAAAGATCATTGAAAAAAATATATCAAAAATGTTAAAAATGGTTGTATTTTTAGTAGAAGATGGGACCATTTAGATCTATGGAGTGAAACTACCGCTGAGGTTTCATCCACTCCATAACTCAACCCTGAGCTAAAATAATCTGTGAGGCTGGTACCATCCCATGCTAGTTTGCAATTTTATTTCCATTTAACAAATCAGCAAGGCAATTTATTGCAAATATCAGTCTTCTCAGACAATGACCACAAATTCAAGGTTGCAGGATTCATTGTGTACACCACATTAAACATTCACTGCATTCATTTTACCTTACACTTAAATGACAATTTGTGGAACTGACATTGAATAGTGTTGTGTAAATGCAGACGTTATTTTGGCCATAACACCAGTAGTAATAATGGAACACCCTGTTTGTATTTTGAAGTGCACATCTTGGTTGTTTACAAATAAACACAAAGTTGGTTTATTTTACTTCAATTTTGATCTCAGTGTTGTTTTTCCTTTTCGAAAATTTGTGAAGTTGTAATTCTAGGAAAAATTGAAAAGGATAATTCGTGTAGTTGCGTTGTCTTCCGTATTTAAGGAAACGCCACTTCCACCAGAAAATAACTCCTTCCTCATGAATTTTCAAAAAAATTGCAGATCACAATTAGATTCAATAACCTTAAGCGACGACGGAACGCGCCAAACGTCCCCATTTCTCCTCATGAAACGCGTAATTCTTTGTAACACCTGCATCTTTTCACAGTGATAAAACAAGGGTGTTAATTTTGCCTTCTTACGGCAAACTACCAGATGTAACTTTACTTCTAACCTATCTAAATTGAACAGACAAAGAGAAAATGGGGCTTTTTTCTTTCGCGACGATTGGGAGCGTGTACTGAGTGACCCAATAAGACTGTTCCTCGGCCATATCTCGGGAACCGTTCGTCGTATGCCTTATGGGTAAAACAAATTATTAGGTAAATCGGTATTGAAGAATCACTTGAAAATATAAATATAAGTTCTAAAAATGACCACCAGAGGGCGTAACTGCCATCTTAAATTTTAAAATTGCATTTTCTTTAAATTTCGCATAATAAACTACAAATTTTTTTTACATTTTTAAAGAGAACCAGTTTATCTATCAATTTCGTAAAAAAAAGATGGTGTGGGGCGTTCAATTGTTTTTGCAATAACCTGCTCTAACTTCTTAACGGTTTGACCTATTTTAACAAATTTAGTGTTGAAATTGGGCAATAAGAATCAACTAAAATATAGTTGAATTCTTCCCCGCCAGGGGGCTAGTTTTGACACCATGACCCAAAATCCTAAAAAAATCAAATGGAATGATGACTTTTTCATTTTGAAAAAGTAGCCAAATAACACCCAAAGAGGCCAATGAAACACGTTTTTCAAAATCTCGTTCCTAACCTCAAATATTGGGAAAATGAGATTAATGGATCTTTGAAGGCCAAGGATCTCGCGGTAAATTTCCTAAAACTACTAAAAATTAGCTACAAAATGAATAAGATGTTAAAGAGGCAATTATGAGTCTAAATCATTAAAAAATATATATCATCAGAACTTTCATGTTGCTCCAAAAGGATTAAACTTAAACGCATCCTGAACTTTAATATTATAGATACCTATAATCGAGGGTATATTACAGTTAGTTTACTGAATTCTTTTTATAATAATGGGCTGTGGCTCTAAGAAGAACCGTTTTTTAATAAAACCCATGAAAGGTAAAAGAAAGTGATCTAATGGCGACCCAAGTATTCAAAATGGCCTCCGTTATTTTGGAATGTAAACACAGCAATAATTTACAAATCATGGCTGTTATTATTTTATAATGCATCGTGTTTCATTTGTTTAATTTTCCAATGCCTACCTAAACGTGTAGGGCGCTTTTTCAAACTTTCGCGCAATCGACACATACCAAAAATACGTCAAAAGTAAATTTAAGATACAATTGAAGCATTTTTATTTAAGTACTGGTATTTAAAAGCGGAAGGCATTTACCCTGAAAGGAATGTTAAATATGGTGTACTTCTGGAATATGCTGGAATCGAAAGCCTATCTGCGCGAAGGAGGTGTACAGCAATGGCATTCCTATATAATTTGTGTAACAACTTAGTGGATTGTCCAGAATTGATTCAGCAGTTAAAGTTTCATGTGCCTCGACAGCAATCCAGAAACAATATTACGTTCTTCTGTCCTAGAGTGAAATCATACACTTTATTAAGATCCCCAATACATTTCATGTGTGACACATTTAATAAAATTAGTAATGAATGTGATATATTTACCTGTAGTAAGAACTATATTCTAGAAATAGCGTCTAAATAATTCCTAATATCGTTGCGTAGGTACTTTATTTTCAAATCATTTGTTTTTTTTTATATTCTTTGTTTCTGCTGAGTATTTTTTTAAATGTTTATTTGTTGTTCTCACTTTTAGCGTTTATTACTAATCTAAGATTAATAACTTTTCTTTATGTATTTTCGCCTTTGTCCTGTAAATGGGTGTTCCTGTTGGGCAAATAAAGCATTATTATGGTCGGTGTTTCTTGTGAGAACTCAGGTCTAGCATGGTTAACACTAATCGCACAGATTAAAATCAAGTAACGATTAGTGTAGTATTATAATTATTATTAATCTCACGTACCCAATATTTGAGGTTAGGAACGAGATTTTTAAAAACGGTTTTCACTGGCCTCTTTGGATGTTATTTGGCTACTTTTTCATGAAAAAGTCATATCATTCCATATGATTTTTTTGATTTTTTTTAGGATTTTTGGTCATGGTGTCAAAACTAGCCTCCTGGCGGAGAAGGATTCAACTAAATTAACTATATTTTGGTTGATTCTTAATCGGTCCAACCGTTAAGAAGTTAAAGCAGGTTATTGCAAAAACAATTGAACGCCCCCCCTCCCACGCCACTTTTTGTTTTTGAAATAACTGAGATTTTTTTACGAAAATGATAGATAAACTGGTTCTCTTTAAAAATGTTTAGTTTATTATGCGAAATTTAAAGAAAATGCAATTTTAAAATTTAATATGGCAGTTACGCCCTCTGGTGGTCATTTTTAGAACTTCAAAATATTTTCCAGCGATTCTTCATGACCGATTTACCCAATAATTTGTGTTACCCATGTCATACGACGAACGGTTCCCGAGATATGGCCGAGGAACAGTCTTATTGGGTCACCCGGTACATTTCCTCTAACTTTTTCGGCCAGTCAGCATGTTTATGTGTCTTGAAGCTGTTAGCGATTTTGGTGTAGGGGGAAGAGTGAAGCAGAGACAAACATCAAATGAAGAAAGAAAGCAGACGAATACTGGAGGTAGAGGAAGAAGAATCAGACATAAGCACAAGTAACCGAGAGGAGGAAGAGGGGACAGGAAGCAGCGCAGGGAGAAGACAACAATAAAAAGAGGAGGAACAAGGGGGAAAAGAGAAGGGATCGAGACCAAAGGATAGGGACATCGGAAACTAATGAAAGCCCTAAGAAGAAGCTATCACCAGAAAGCAGTTCCCTCTAAGGCAGATATTCCAGTGGCGAAGCTGTGACCCCACCCATTCGGGTCGGAAAAAAACAGTTAGCCCACAACCTCCTCAATTCAGAAAATCCACCACATTGTTTGGCATGGCAACAAAAGTAGTGGAGAAGCACCCTTGTTAATGCCTATCAGGTACGCATCCCCACGACAGTTGACTACATCCTGGAAGAGGCGGCGACGCCACGCATATGCCAAATTATCAAGTTCTAAGTGCGCCTGAATATCGCAAAATTGTTACGACCAGATTATTCGATTATAAAAAACTGTAAGTAATTAAGATTTCTTATTTAATTGTCCATCGAACGCTTGCATGCGTGGTACGTGTAAAAACGGGTTCTGAATGCCACTTTTTCTTCCAGAGTTATTGCTTCATTTATTTATGATTCGAGAACAATTTTTTGTATTTGTCAATTAATGAACTGCGTGTTTAATCGAACCCTAAATCTGACCCTGATAGAGTTTTCATGTCATTTTTTTTGCAACAAATAAATAAAAATAAACAAATAAAATATGAAACTTTCCAATAAAAATTTAAATTATATTATTGAATAACCATTGCAAATCTGGTTTGACCGGTCATTTGTGCTATGATTACTGTAAAAAAATAAAGACATTGGAATCAGCTAATGCGACGAATGGCCTTGTATTTAATTAAAAAAACAAATGAAATGGAGCAGTAATGATTATCATTAAGAGATACAGGGTGTTTCATCTATAAAAAATGTTAAAACTTAAATTCCAATGTCGTTTAGGATGGTTTTCAATATCTCCTTCACAATTTTAGACGAATTGACTGGACATGCAAAATTTAGTAGGCATCCTATACAGGGTGTTTTTTTGGGACTTTAGTTAAACGTTTCTGGGAAGTGAAATAGGCGGCTTCTTGAAAATTTGTACTTAATTGCACTGAAGGCCGAAAAAATAGGAATTGCCATTTAAAATGACGAAGTTACTAGATACTTGCCACCATTTTGAAAATATTTTACATCGATTCGGCCTTCAGAGTAACTCTTAAGTACACATTGTCAAAAACTTAAATATTTCACTTTCCCAGAAACGGAAGCTCCCAAAAAACCACCCTATATATCTAATATTTAAATTTGTGTAAATAATGTATGATGCTGTAGAGTTAATTTGTTAAAAAAAAGCAAAACTCTAGTCCTATAAAACCGAAGAATGATGTTAACAGTGATTTGCTCTACAGACTTACGACACTTCAAAAAGTTAGGGTTTGGAACCCTAGGGGGCGCTAGCTTTTAATACAATGCGTACCACGAAAGCTGAAATGACAAACATTAGAAGATTCACAATCAAATATGAAACTAACCATTTTAATCCAATTCTGATACAAAGCAGCACAAAAATCACAAAGAAAAACACAAATTATAAGATAAACAATTTCCAAAGAGTTTATTTTTTATTTCTCCACCAAATTAACCCGTACTTACCGGTATAGTTCGTCGCACATAATAAGGTGGTTGTCTGGGAACATTCCCTAAAACCAAAGAGTCTTGAAATGCTAGCTGCTCGGTTGTCACATGCAGATCATTTTGATCGTGATTCTCTTGTAATGCTACCGACAGCCAATCGTAATCCTTCTTGAGTACAGATTTGAAATTATCGAAAGCGCGATTGTCTTTTTTGACGACATACTTCAACAAGCTCTCCACAGCATCGGCTCGAGTATTCTAAAAGAAGAAATCGATTAGAAATCACTAATTTGAAGTCGTCACTTTAGTAAATCTTCACTTTACTTACACTTACCTTAGCAAAACCCTACCTTATGCATACTTAACCTTAATACAGAAAAATTCTAAAAACGAAAGTTTACTGACAATCAAGAGAAAATAGATTTCATTATTAATTCACTTAACCGCAAGGGGAAATTCAAGAAAACGGTAATTGAAAGAAACATTTCCAAAGGGGCGTTTAACATTCCCCAGTGCTTCTTTTCCAGGTTTTATACGCCACTAGATTTGTAGATGAGGTCATTTTTACTGTGGTCTTACACGTGAGAAGTTAAGGGAGTGAAAATTGTTTTGAGAAATGAATATCTCCAGCGCTAAAAGAATGCCCCCAAAAGGTAAAGTGCTCGTAGTTTTGTGGGAAACAACAAATGACCCGCCCTGGTAGTTGATATTATTTTCGCCGGGAATTTCATACAGGCTCATCTCGATCAGAGGGCAATTGAGTGAGCAAATTCTCCACTGAGCTACTCGGAAGCGCAACCACGCCTTGAGATCTTACTGAGTCAAACTGGTCCATCTCCAAACTTACCCAATCCAGCAGAATCACTTATTACTCATTCAAAACCTATTAAAGATGTCAATTTAACATCTCTAAAATAAACCAATTTAGAATTGATTCAGATCGGAGAGTTTACTAGTGTTTCATAAAAACACAGTTTCAATTACTTATTTAAAAGTATGATTTGCCTTTTTCAGTAGAGGTTTTCGCATATTATCTTTGGGAAATATCTCGGGAAATGTACATTATTATTGCTTGTAGATAAAAAATTTTAATGAAATTAATCACAGTAAAAACCTTGGCAATGCGATTGCTGTTCAAGGTAATTTGTCATTACTGATTTAATCTTTAAGTATATAAAAAATCTCTATTTCCGTACTTTTCATCGTATTTTTTAAATCTTGCGTTTCATTATTCTCACTAATAGCAAATGTAGTTTTTTATTGTGCACATGTCTTATTTAAATAATATAAATCTTTTAAGGTTAAAGTCAAGTTCAGTTTTGCGGATAATTAATTTTATCATTAATAATTTTTTTATCTGAACATCACAACAGTAACTCAAAGTAAGATTGCTTGTTTGTAGGTCAGTTTGAGGTGGTGGGCTAATGTACGGCCATGACCAACAAAGGGTAGGTACATATAACCAGGTTCATATCAAAATAAGACATGCACGTTATTAAAATTTGCAATATACCCTGAAACACGATTCGAAATACTCAAATTACCTGGAATTTTCTTTATAGGTACATACTACGAAATTGCTTCTTATTTTTTAGTTATTCAAAGTTCAAGTTGTAAGAAAAATATACAGTGACAGTGACACATGACTATTAAACCATTTGGTATATTACCATGAACTTTGGAGCGATTCTGCACAAGAAAATTCTTTATTTTTTGAGTTGAAATTGACGCGTGATGGTGATGGTGAATCTACCAAACCCATGCGGTGCGGTGGGAATGAGAAAGTGTTTTTTTTTAAATTTTTTTTTTGATCAATTCAAATAACATCAGAAAAAAATAAAACCAAAATCATCAAATTTCAGTTTTTCTGGCAAATAATGGGCATTTTCTGGTTTTCTTTGAAGCATGATAATACCTAACCCTTTAATTGCCGATTGCGCAACTTTTCTCTAACTTGGCCATCGTCGTATCTTCTATGGTTTCAGAGATCGCCATGATCAATATAATCGCGAAGTTGATCCCTTGGAGAAATTCTCCGCAATATTAAATTTTCACTTTACCTTTACCTTCCTCCAACGCTCCATTTTCGAGATATTCACCCTGAACTTTTGACATCACAAGTATACACGGTGTCCATTTTTCGAGTGCCACTATGGGGATCTCACTTATCTTAAGAGATAGAAAGTTGGTTAAATGAGAGCAAAGGTGCCAATTTTGGTGCCGAATAAGAATCTGAAAAGAAATTTGAAATATCTCCAATAGTTTTGAAGATATCGCAAAAAAACGAAAATTTCTGATTTTCGTTTTTAATTTTTTTATGATAAACTAATCGTAGTAGACATTTCTAATTAACACATTATTCGGACACTTTTTAATGGAGACTTCAAATATGGTATCCTGTTTTTAATAACTATCAAGATGACGGAGAAACACGTGACAACTTTAGTTTTTCTTATGGGCGCCATTTTGAATTTTCACATTTTGAGATTACGTCTTTTTTTCTCTTTACAACGATATATCACACATGGTGGTTCAGTATCACATTTTTCCTAAAAATACAATTTTTAATTTTTTGAGAAGAGTGCTTTGGAAAAACAAAACGTTCATTTGTTGTGAACAAATGTTTGACAGTTTGATCCATCTGTCTGGTTGCAACGTTGTCAGAGAAGTAGAAATTCGATTTTCATCTGAACATAATCATAGAGTAAATAATTACTCTATGACAGAATTGAACTTTTGTTTTGCAATAATTATAATTAAAATTAGAACAAAATACATAACATGTGTTCAAATTGCCCACCTCCTAATTCTGAGCACAGTGCCACTCTCTTCCTAAGATTTGCTATGGCTCTTGACACATCCCTTCTTCTAATCTTGTTCCTGAGAGTGCTCTCAATTCTATAACGAAGTTCATCAAGGTCGGCTGGCAATGTTTTGTAAATTTCATTTTTCATTGTTCCCCACAAAAAATAGTCCAAGGGAGACAGGTCCGGTGACCGCGCCGGCCAGCGTACGTCGCCATTATTAGCAATAACATGATTGGGGAACAATTCCGATAAACATTCCCCAACCCTCCTAGCATTATGGGGCGTTGCGCCATCTTGCTGGAACCATATCAAGTTCAAACGATGAAGAGGAACGTTATTGTCAATAAAATCGGTTAGAAATGTCCTCAGGAAATGGAGGTACCGGATGCATTTAGAGTCTCCTAAGGACCAATTATTGTATCGCCCAATAAACCGACCCATACGTTAACGCTAAAATGTATTTGTGGTCGTTGTTCTTGAAATTGATGAGAATTTTCAATTGACCAGTAAGTTCATTGTCAAAATTTCAAAATTTTTACCGCTTGCAAAATTGCCTGCTCCTATTCATTGGGTCTATCACCATATTACTGTCTACATCTTTTAAAAGAACCATATTCACCCAAGTTTTTATGCAGCAACCTCAAACTAGATTGTTGCCGCTCTGGATAACGCTGGAAGTATGTTGAAGGAGCCATGTGGGCATTTCGATGAGAAGTGTAGTAAATTTGGATCATATCTGTTTGATCTGCACTTGAAAAAGGCATTTTCGCATACAACTAGCATAAACCTAGTAAATGGCACTACATGAAATAAGTCAACCTTTTGTTCACAACAAAAGAACGTTTTCTTTTTACAAAGCACTCTTCTCAAATAATTAAAAATTGTATTTTTAGGAAAAATGTGATACTGAATCACCATGTGTGATATATCGTTGTAAAGAGAAAAAAAGACGTAATCTCAAAATGTGAAAATTCAAAATGGCGCCCATAAGAAAAACTAAAGTTGTCACGTGTTTCTCCGTCATCTTGACAGTTATTAAAAACAGGATGCCATATTTGAAATCTCCATTAAAAAGTGTCCGAATAATGTGTTAATTAGAAATGTCTACTACGATTAGTTTATCATAAAAAAATTAAAAACGAAAATCAGAAATTTTCGTTTTTTTGCGATATCTTCAAAAGTATTGGAGATATTTCAAATTTGTTTTCAGATTCTTATTCGGCACCAAAATTGGCACCTTTGCTCTCATTTAACCAACTTTCTATCTCTTAAGATAAGTGAGATCCCCATAGTGGCACTCGAAAAATGGACACCGTGTATATGTCTCATCTAGACCTTCCAACCGTCTTTTGAGAGTATCCTCCCAACACTCCGTTCTGCAGATAATTTGCACTGAAATTTTTACCATCACCAGTAGATCTGTGTCGTCTAGACGTTCCACTTGCCGTTTATGTGTACCCTCTTCCAACACTTGGTTTTCGAGATATTTGTTTCGATCTAACCAATAGATATGTCTCGTCCAGACGATTCATTTTCCAGATACTTGCTCTTAAAGTTTTGACAAAGATGTTAGTAAAATTAATTCCTTTAATTGAGACCTTTCATGAGAGTACAGTAGAACCCTGAATATCCTTGTTGTACGGGACTGGACAAACCAAGGATAGTTGAAAAGTATAGATAATCCAAATGTTTATTTCTTACATATGAATGGACGTATTGTGTATAGTGTGGTTCAAATTCGTGGCTCACCGTGGTGATCTCCATACAGTGTAGGTCTAGGTGTAGGTTGTGGAGGCCCCTTTTTGTGACTAAAAGAACCGAGAAAAAAACGCATTTGAAATTTCTGAAAAATCTTTTAAAATATCTGAGATACGTATCGACGAAAAACTGAATTTCCTTTTCATTTTCTCTAAAAATGGACGGCACCTTCTATGGACACTTTTTTGGAGAATCTGAATCTGTTATCAGAATTTCCATAACATGCTATATCTAGAAGCTGCTACTTTCTTATTTCTTATGGCCACCATATTGGATTTTTATGAAATGAGATAGAGGACAAAATAAAGAAATTCATTTGAACGCATCCCTATCATTTGATTCAGCAAAATCTAGTTACCATTACCACCCATGGATGTTTTGTCGAAAAATGAATGTAAAATGTGTGATTTTGAAATTCGCTAAAAAATGTACGTATACAGGGTGTTTAAGATTTTCGCAGTTCGGAAATGTAAAAATTTAATTCAAGAGGAAATCCTCTTTATCTTCAACAATAGATTCTGTACTGGAAAATAAGGACAGTTTGTAATTACATCCCTATCCAACATGTGGTTTTTAGAAAATGGAGCAAAATGAAAAACTTTTACATATTAGGTAAGGACTACGCGAGGGCCTATGCTTAATTTAAAAAAATGTTGAACCGTTCTCGATTGTTTAAAAAGTGTTTTCCAACAACCCAACAACACATTAAAAACTTTAGTTAGACAGAGTTCGATGCTCGTCGAGAGTTTTCCAACATGACCTGTTGAGGGCCCGGAAAATATTAGGTAAGGTTG